GGAAGCCGGCAGGAGCAATTTCTTTTGAGGTGTGGCCTTTAGAAATCGCAGAAACGACGCAATTTGCGGCCTGCCGCGGTGGATGCCACTTTCGCTAGGCACATTTGGTGGGATCCTTTGACCCCGTAACCACCCAATACCCAGCTTTTTCAGGGTGTGATTGGTCGACCCTCTACGAAAAAAAAGGAGGTATTTACCATGGAAGCCCAGGTTGTTTTCAAAAAATACCCTTAAAAAAACGTGGGTATTTGGAGTAAGGGGTATATTGCGTGTGTCGTTCTTTGAGGCTAGCCCTTTTCGGTGGATTTAAATCAGGAAAGCCAACCATAATTACTATACGTTGTTGTTTTTGTGGAGGGGGGGTCGGGACCTCCAAAATGACACACCCATTCTTTAATTTCATGCATTGCTTGTTCGAGACCGACCCTTTGTCATATTTCCGGTGATTGAAGCAATACCTGGGACACAATAGCAGCACTGGTATAATGTAGTATACGTGTAATGTTGAGTTCGAACAGGGCATCTTCAGTGTGATGTACAACCACTGAATGGCTTCCTTGCAATCTGTGAAGTGCGGGTAAGCCGTACCTAAGGTCGTGCAAACCACCCTGGTAGACCGTCGGTCTTCATTTCAATCCCAAAACAAACAGGAACTCAAAACTGGACAAGAGCATGACAAACTGCGGCAAGCCCCACCAAAACACCACAAAGACTGATCCTGAAAAAAAAACACCGAGACATTGTCAAATTGGGACCCCAGAAATGGTGGTCTTGCTTTTAGTCTCCAAAAAGTCAATCATGCAAAGGGTACCCTCAAAAGGTTCAATTTGGAATTGGCACCAAATTGGTGTCTTCGGTTTCCCCGCGATGCCCTCAAAACAAAACTCTCCAGTCTTCAGGCGCAGACCAGCGTGCAGGATGATGACGAGCTTTTGTCAGACAGGCGCGCAGATTTCCCAGCAATCCCCTTCGAGGAAATACAAAGACGCGGGATGGTTCATAGGGTCATTCCCTCAGGACCCTACCAAGAACAAGCCAGGATGTCCCTTCTTTCCCCCAAGAACCTGGGGGTGAGTTGCTTGACACGATTCCAGACGAGCAGAGACACGAGGACCAACCCCCTAAGCCCCAGATCTACGAACCCCCGAAGAGGAAGGCTCAAGGGCGAGGTCGAAGCCCATGCCATCCATGTGTGTGGTCCTTTTCAAAAGCCATGTAGCCATAGGTGTCCTTTTTAGGTTACTTTGGTTAAAAATAGATGGCACTGGTGTGGATGCGGTTTATTCCATTTTTTACCAGGGCCATCTATTTTTCCAAAAGGCCACATGCATGCAGCCGAAACCCTAAAAACTCACTTGGGAAGGTCCCTGTTAACGAGTAGTACATCTCAGTGTTGATCTGTCGTTCGATAGATCCTGCTTTGAACAAGCGAGGTTGCCCTCTTGTGCTGCTGGAAGTGGCTTCAATAGGGGACCCCTATAATGGTTGCAGTTTCTTTGCTAGATCCCTCCTTTTTTGGTTGGGAGGGTTCCCTTACCAACATAGACTACAGAAAATTTTGTACCCTTATTCTAGCCTCTGTACTGGAGGACCTAGTTTGGTTTCTGGTTTGACATGTTTCACTGGTTTTCAGTACAGAACAACACCTGGCTTTGAGTCAAAACTATATAGATATACGACAGACCCTCCCAAATGGTTGGTTTTCTTTGCGGTTCCAAGTTGCTTTAAGTCCGCTTGCATATTGACGCCTGACCATGTACCTCAAACGCCACACAAAACCGTGCAACACTCACACATATGGTGCATCAACCACCAGCTGCGATGATATTTGTTGTTTTGTACTTTCGAATTTCACCTAGATGTTCTTTTAGACACGCCCAAGAGCCCTCCCACAACTTTGGTGCATTTTGCTTGGATGTTAGGACTTTAACTTTTTGCCAACTAATGGGTGTTCCATTAAACCACTAAAAGTTAAACTTTTAGCAGGGGAGCAGAAAGCAACCGAGGAGAGAGACTCCAAACCCTGGAGACTTGAAACTGCCCCAAACGTTCCCATCGCGTGCCGCGCGAACAAAACACGCCGACGTCAGTTCCTTGCCTCTGCCTCGCCAAACAGCACTGCAGCCGGGGCGCCAGAGAAAAGCAGCGGCGAATCGGTGGCATTTGTTCGATGGCTTCCGCCTGTTCCTTGTTTTGCACGAGCCGAAGCCCATGATGTGGATCCTTTTGGGGATTCCTTCAGATTGGGAGAGAGAGAGAGAGAGTAGGATGGGTTTTCCGCTATCAAAAAGGCGAGGGGGGGGAGGAGAGCAACTACCTCTCACCGATTCCTCAGCCATCAGCTCACCGGATGATTCGAGCGTTTGCAGATGGCGAAGGGAATGGCGCAGGGAAGCTGAAAGAAGAGCAAGGGTACGGCTGGGCCCCTCAATTCGCAACACTTCATCAATTATTCTAAGGACAGTTTAGAAACCATGACCACCGGTCAGAAATTGAGTTG